GGAGGGGACAAAGTCAGGATTAATGCCTATGCATGCGTCGTGTTTTGTTACCGGGCAAATTTTCTTTACATTCAGCTGAGAGGAAGTCAAGTTCAACATAGACATCATCACTCTTCTTGAGAACATTATGAAAAAGATTTTCTGACGTGCTTTATGACTCTGCTAAAAAGCCTTATGGCAGTCCTAACCAAAAATGTTGCTCCCAGTGACCAGTAGAAGTGTAGGAACCATTTTACGATGTCCACCTAGGCAATGCCAATACAACGATCGCATCTTGGTGAATGCGTTATTGCAGAGGGGTGCGCAGAAGGGCGTACCTAGGTTTAACGTTGACAGTTCACCCAGTCACCACAATAATCTAGCGGGTAAAAGCAAGGGGGAAACGTGAGGCGGTTATCCACCAAGTGCAAAGAACGTACTTACACCCAATAGTAAAAGACAACCGACAAACAGTAATAATTGACGAAAATTTTAGGTAGTCCGAAGTGCCAAACTAGAAAGGGAATGAGTAAGGGTTCAGGAGCTTCGCGGTTATGTAGCACCCCTGCAAGACGTACTATTCAGAAGGTAAGGAAGACTGCAAAGTGAAGGAATTGTTCAGAGTATTATGGCATGGACGTATGTGATGGACAAAAAGGAATCCATATTAAAAGAAGATAGGTCTTAACGATAGGGCGCGTAATGCAAAAAGTAGGAATTTGAGTTGTCCTTTCAGTTCAAGATTATCTACCTGATTGTACAGTTTGGTCCATGGTGTACACTTACTCAACAGCCACTTGGCACTCAACTTACATTATGGTTTTAGTTCTGTTACAGTAAACCTGCTCAAATGCTGCACTAGATGCATTAGCTTGTTCCAGATTTCGAAATTTGTGATATCCCTCCGGAATATCTGTAGCCCCAGTGTCTTCCGCAGTCGCTTCAATGCATCCTTGCACCACTCGTGGTACTGGCTGAGAATTCAGAGGAAGTGGAAGAAGTAACCCCATTGCTATTCGGTATGGCAGGAGCCATCGGTACAACTGCGGGTTCTGGCCCCTTTATAGGTGTGTGGCCATTTAACAGCCCCACAGACTTTAGCTTAGTCAACTGCATGCGAAACCTCGTAAAATCCGGAAAGAGACGAAAGAACTTCAATCATCACTAAATCGTGTTTGGAGATCTTGCTGAAGATCTCCGAGGAATCGTCACATCAGATCAAAATCAGGAGCACAACTACCGATTGCTTTCTGCTGCCATAGGCAATATGTTGACTCTGCGAAACGTTTATCAAATCATCCGCTTTCAACTCCTAGGAGCAGGAGAATGCATAAGCCTGCACATGAAGGCAACTACCGTTGCTGCCGAACACACCACTAGTCGATTCTCTCACGTGGCTGATTGTCGTTCTGGGAAGCACTTCCCAGTTGATACTAGGATAGGTGTCAGCTTAATCCCACTAGCGAATGAGGGGCGACTGTGATCGAATCCCTTGTGACTTCGCGCTGCCCTTGATTTTTCGATCACGGCATGTGGTAGTAAGCTACTGGACCAAAATCTTGGTGTGAGTCATCGGTTTCTTTGAGTTTACATCATCGCTAACCTTACTGCCACAGTTATCGGTATGGATCTGAAAAATGTCTGTTACTGGTGGACAAGGGACTCTGCTACCACACTTTCTGTCTCCGGTGTTATTGCCACCGCGCCTTCTGTCAAGTGGGTTCATTCCAACCATGGAGATAGATTCTTCCTTTAACATCTTCACACCGCCATCTTGAATGTCTTGCTTGGTTCATAGCGTTCAACATCATATAACAGCTACCTGACCGACAGTTTTCGACAGAGCATGACGTTTATTCGAAGAAAACCCATGAGTTATCAGAGCTGAGTCTGGAAATATGCAGGAAGTGGGATCGTTAGGGTTTCAAGAAGCCCTAGGACTTCTTCGACTGGAGTTTTGAAGCAGTGGCATAGAGTAGCAACCAAGTAGTGACTACCGTTAGCTTGACCCTAATACAATTCAGGTGGTTGCTCAGTGCCTTATACGTATGATTTGACTGCTGCTCTGAAGAGCGCGACTGCTTTCAGCAAACTGACTGAAGTCTACCTATCTTCAAACGCCAGTTCACCAGGAAGAACTTCCGAAGAAGACTCATCACGCTATCCTGCCTTTCTGACTTCATCTTCATCTCTTTTGGACTCCGGAGTACTGCACAAATCTTACAGTCCTTTTGCTTATATCTAGCTAAATGACCTAACTACCACGAAAGCAGATAAGAAGGCTCTTCGCACTCACCTGCAGCCGGTGAAGGATACTTGTACTACAGGTGGATAATTCCGGTTTTGGGGGCTGGTTGGTTTGATCGTGAAGCTGTCGTTGTTTTTCTGGACAACATCATCTGTACCAACTTCAGCATGAAGTGAGTTACTGGTATTTCTCCGTGAGTGGTTAAATTGCTTGGCCTGACGGAGTCGTCTGTGATTGGTAGCTTCCTCTGACCGTTTTCTCGCTACCGCATGGACCTTCCTTTCGGTCTTTACAGCGCATGCCCTCTAACCTTGTAGTCGCACTATTCGTACTTCCTACCGATTGATGGATTAGGTCTGTCTCTGCACATTTATTGGTCGCCGACGAATTAGACTTTAAGCTTCTAAGGGTTATCGGATGCTGTTACCGCTTCTTTTGTCCAAGATATCAATATTTTTAGCATCAAATTCATGACCATAATTATCCACACACAGTGACACGAGTGGCGAGATGCCGTGAGGAAGCGACATTTTCACTGTGGGTTTGGTGCAACTCAGGCACTTATAAATAAATAAATAAATATCTTTATTCTCAAGTCGTGAAGTTAACATGAGGGAAGCCAGTTTACAGGCCTCATCTACTGCCCCACATCCTATATCTCAATTGTCTACAGATATTATATGCAACACCCCTGCGTAGTTTACGAATGCAATATGCTTCGGTAATCACGGTCACATATTATTAGTTGCGGGGGCTCGTTTCAGTCCAAAGCTGCCCACGAACTTGTATGGTGATGATGCAAACTCGTTAGAACTTCTGTCTGTATTGTTCAAAACAGGATTTTTTTTCATTTCGCCTATTGTTCACCAACCAAAATGAGGGCTATTCATGTATACTTATGGGATAGCCCGTATACCTCGTTGACTCCAGCAGTTCTATGGCACCTTCATCTAGATGTAACTGAAATCTCACAGCATGCACTTTGAGGAAGAGGACCAAGCCCTCTTACTCTTCATGCCTGTAAAACCGTCGCACTCCTACCGAAACGAAACAAGCGATTGTTAAAATTCAGTATCGGAGTGATCAGGAAATGAAGGTAGCTGTCGTAAAGTGAACAGGTGTGTAGGTGTTTACCAGCACAAAACGGACCGCTGACTATGTACAATACCAACAGTATCTAGGTACACAAATGACCTGGAAGTTCGAAAGGATCACTGGAAATAATGATCACATCATGATAAGCGCTTTATTCCGAACAATATGCATGGCATGCTACGGAATCATCCGCTGATAAATTCTCCACAAAGTCACCCCCGAATCAGTATTCTCCGGTTAAGTGTTTATTGCATCTGAATGATATCAATTAAGTCGGCACTCAGAGAAATAATGTGAGACAGCCATTATCATATTATACTGCTTGTCCCTGGGTTCCTAGTGGAACACAGGGCTTCGGTAACACGTCTCCATTCCACTCTCGTTTCTGCAGTCCTTTCAACCTGGTTCCACGACTGCCCACGAGCTTCCGTTCCTTCCCCACGTGATCTCCTCCATGTCACCCTCACCGCGGACACCCAACTCGTCGTTTCCCTTTACATTCCACTCGGTGACCTGGTCTGGCGCGTGGCGTACACAATAGATCTTCCCATGATGTGCCAATCCAATCCGTCTGCAGTTTATTCCGCATATTTGTTAGGTGATAGGTCGTTGGTTGCTTGGTGTTTTGCCGGCCAGCCAGCCAGCCAACCAGAGTTCCTTGTTTCTTATCCTTTCACTCCGGCCATCTGATCTTCGGTGTCAAGTGAGCGTAGGTGGCAGCCGTTGATGACTGTAGTTTGTTGGAAATGCTTTTCGTAATGCGGCGGGTTTCTCAACCATCACATAGAAGCACTGACTTGATATTGGTGTTGAAATCCGGATCTTGTTATTTATGCCGAACCCAGTGCAGTAGATCACCGTATGGTTTCAGATTAATGAAGGCCTGTCTTGTTTTTTCGGTGGAACAGCCAGCTTGTTTCGAATTAGCATGCCATCTGCAATGAAGAATCAAAGGAAGCCCCAGCCTTCGTTTAGTGGTGGCGGCTCATTCAGTCAGTATATGGGTCTGTAACTGAAGCCAAGTAACCGAGGCAGTGAAAAGTCCATTTCCACATTACGTGACATCTTTCTTTCATTATTTCGTTAACTGAAGGAACGGGGGGTTAGAGGAGATATGACAACAGCACATCGTTTCGCCCATAATTCCGTGCAGCAGTAAAGTTCGCCTTTGCGTTTTAGCCATCAAACCTAAGGCGGGGTTTATTTATTAAATGGAGGGCATGACACTGTACGTTAGAGATCCGTGGCAATCCATTTGGAGTTAGATTTTTCTCCTTGAAAATCCAGCTTGCAACTGATGCTGCTACAGGTGATTATTCAGAAGTAATTTGAACGCTACTTGAGAGTCATTGGTTTTGACGAGTTGAACTTGAGAGGGTACCTGTTCTCTCAGAGACCTGGGTAGCCATACTGCCATCAGGGAGATGAGTAACTGTTGATTGTCGATATCTCTTCAAAACTTCTGAAAATGGAACAAGAATAGCGATCACATCATACAAAGAACACAATCCATTAAAAAGACTGAACCTAAGGGACTGTTGTTCGATATTTCCACAACGCTAGTTTAAAACTTCTATTACAGTTTCTCTCATTCACGAGAAATGAATTGATAGTAGCTGATAAACCTGGCTGAGATACGTTCTACTAGATATCAAATGCCAAATTTTAGGGCTCACAGATGACCTTGAACGTCTCATTACTATCACACGCCATCCTTGTTCTAGGCGGCTTTTTCGTGATAAGGTTTACAGGTATCGTAAGACTGCTTTGACTTTACGTTCTCTTGTGAAGCACTCTATGTACAGGCACTTCAGCAATTAGTAATCGTGCTGTGGACAATGGTGTATGTATGAGGCTTCAGTAACATTTGAGAATTTGTAGCTAGTCACACGGATATTGAGGTTATTCTGAAGATAATTCGTAAGTTTTCGAGATACTGGGAATTACATCTTCATCATCGCATTTCTTCGAGATCAACTTGCCATTTTCAGAGTGTCAATGAAGCTAATTGGTTTAGAGAATGCTGTTACTTACTAGGATTGCATAGATGCAGTGAACTGTATACAGTCCACATTTTCTTATTGCAGAACTAGTACCCGTGTAAATAAAATGCCCTTTCATCCTGGATAGTAATAAGTGGTTTCGTAACGGTTTCATCTTGGGCTGTCTAATTTTAGCCTAGCGTTCAGGCTTTCGTTTTTTACAGACTTCCAGTGTTCTACATCTCGCTTTGTAGATGAGATCTCATCCTCGCTTTTCTTTTTTCGACCCTCATCTTTGTTATTAGACGTAGGATTAACAAAATGAGGAGTGTTTAAGGAGAGAGCGACAACTGAATTTGATTTTTTTTTACAATATCTGCGGATTACTAGTAGGGTTCCTGAAAACCTTTGGCTGAATGCGGGACATTGCTTTTACGCAGCCTCTTACAGGTATATAACACTCACACCTTCGATATCCAGGTTTCCATTGACCCTAAGACCTAGTATGCCATTACCTTACCTAGTGCAAACGTGAAATCGTAGATTACTGGTCAGATGTATCTAGTGTCAATGGTTTGCATTCATCTCATAGTACTGTTTACAGATATCTGCTCATATTTTTGACTGATTAATTCAATAAAAAAGTAGTTTGAAGTGACTTGAAGACCACAGGACATCTGCCCGAGGCCTACCACACAGCCTCTTGACGATTGTTGGTGTGAGATTTGCTTGTTCTAACGTCGGATAGGAGAATTCAATATCACCGGCACTAGAAGGCCGTAAGGAAAAGACGAGTGGACTGTTTTGAGGTAAAATTTTTCCGTCGCCAGCCCCATATCTTCCCACCAGAAAGGTAGCTTGAGCATAGCACTGCTGGCCAACCGAGGGAAACACTTCATTGGTGTCATCTCTATCCAGCCGGAAGTAGATTTTTGCCCTTGAACCCCCATCACAGTGTAGTAATTAACACTGCATCGATAGTTACTTTTCGTCTTAGCACTACCCAACAAACCTTTCTAGCTTAATAGTATGTGAACGGAACAACTTCCAGCCACTGGAACCCAGGTTACTTATGACATACTAGATCAACTACCGCGTGTGTCAAGATAGCAGCTATCGGTCGGGTAATGCCGGATGAAGTGGTTGAGCTCGTTGGACACCACTTAATTGAGACGTAGAATTAGTGTGGATGGGTCAGTGATCCACAAAATATTTGTTCAGATACAGAAGGCAACATTAGCATACGAAAACGTACGCCATTTATAGCGCCGTCGCCAAATCCTACTGCCTATTATGGGCGAATTATACAGCACTGCAGTTCAATCAGTTCTTGTATACGGCTTTGAAACACAGTTATTTGCGGCAGAAGATATAGGAGAACCTTCGTAATAAAGGCCGTGCGTCATGGTGTCCACGTCAGCAGCACAGAAGTCAGGTTTAGGGTCGACGTAAAAGGTGTAAGTCAGATGGATTTGTGAACTTTCAACGTCTCTGGTGTCTGGGATGTGTATTACGCGTATTTATTCACCATCTACCTCATCGTAGAATGTTAAGTAGATTCAGATTGGGCAACAGTTAAAGGCAACCATATTAAAACATGGCACCAGTACATGAAGCTTTTGACTTTGTCTGAGTCGTATAGGAAAATGTAAACTTCCCGGTTGGGACCTTCTCAAAAGCAGAACCCAGTGGCTGGAGACTAGGTGGTATAGCTCAGAATTGATGCCAGTGGCACTTATATATCCACACATTATCTTTATCGTCATACTAAATTTGACTCCACTCTCTCACGTATATCTACCACTTCTCACTGCTTTCCCCATTTCTTAATCGTTCATCTTGGTGTATTCTCGCTTGATGTGTCGATATGACGTGTGGCAACTCGGACCGCTATTCAGTAGTGTCTAGTGCTATGTTAATATTGTTTATGTCCGAGTTTCCCAGCAAAAATGACCACTTGGTCACTCGTGACTTATCAGGCGACCTTAAATGGGGAAAGGTAAGCTAGTGTCATGGTCATTAGCTAGGTTATATTATGATACAGCGTTGATTGGGATTGCATTTGATTTTCTGCAGGAGAGATTTTGAACTCGTCGAAGGCTAGGGTCAGGAAAATGAACATCGTGAAAATCACCTTTGGCGTGTATATAATATAGCACCGCTGGCGTATCTTAATTTATGTGATAAATCATTGACCTTAGCCTTCTCTTTAATTTTACCTTATTCCCTTGTCAGTTCTATTTATAGAGAGCTAGTGAGTAAGGCGTAGTGAATGTTATACAGGAACCGGTTATCAAAACTTTTTCTGTGGTCTAAAATGACGATAGGATAGACAGTGAGCACGAACTACGAATGCGTTTGCGTATATGTATACTTTTACTTCATTGTAGCAGTTACAAATAGTAAAACAAGTACTAGTCGATGTGTACCTGTTGATGTGGATGGCCAATAGCCTAGACTCAGAAGTAACTTAATGGTATCGGCGTTGTCGTTTTCTTCATTCTCATCACAACACATTGATTTTTTATACCAGTGACTGAAATCAGACATATACCAAAGATTTTTGGTCGTTGCAAGGGTAGGTACGAAATGTTAGTTAAAAGAGTAGACTCAATGGTCGTAGTTTGGGATCTGTCAATTGAAGTGACTAGGAATGTTGCTTGTAACTATTCACTAGTGAACCGGCAGTAAAGGTTGGCTTAACTGAAATCCTCAGCGCACTACGCTGACATATCTTTGAAGTTAGCTCCCAGTAGGTGTTGGCTTCTTATGGGATTTGGATTTTTTCCCAGTGACTACATGCTGATTGGGAGTCAGGGAGTTTTCCCTCTTGCTTTGCACACGATTTTTTCATTCATGATTCACCCAGTTTTTTTTCGTTCGGTTTATATATCCACCTTCAATGAGTGAGTTGTCATAAACCAGCGTATCGATTCATCATATCTTCCTTTTTTCTTCAGGCAATAAATTAAAACAATCGTCTACTGAGAAATTAGACCACCTTTATTTCTCCGTCGTTTTGACTCGTTTATCTTATTCTGCGATATGTCGACATCTAATGGGGATTATGTCAGAATCCCACTTTCTGGAAGTTTTGATGATCAAGAGGACCTAGGACTTCATGGAAGTCTGGAACATGAGGTAATATCGAAATTTCCTATCAGTGATACTCCAGGCTTATGTTGAAGATAAAAAAGTGGAAGCAAATCATAGTTTTCTGACACTTAAGTTCTATCAACAGTATTTTGACGTTGATACAAGTCAAGTAAGTGCTGTTGCCATACATTTACTGTTTTTATAATTATGCCTTTGATCAGTGTTAGCAACTTACTTGCTTCATGTATTACCAGTCAAGGAGTAGTTTCAACTCCATATGATAGATGCAGTCCCATTAGTTTTCGTGACTCGCCTGCCGCAAATGGTGTGGAGCTGTTGTTCTTTAGTTTAAGCGGTTGACTTCCGACCGTTAGGCCACATGTTAGAACCGCATTCCATCTACTCAGATCTCTCCAGCTGGGTAGTATCATTAACCCTCACACAATGGGTTTGGCTCATTGCCTACTGCACGAACGTGAAGTTGGCTGCTAAGTGCAGTTCAATCATCGGAAATGATACGAAAAGCACGTTTGAGACACTACAGGACACAGAAAGTTGAGGATTAGTTATTTAGAGGTTCAGAAAATGCAACCATCTATATATTCATACGTATTTTCAACATCATGGAGTGTATGTGCTTGAGTTGGTGTTCAAATCAACACTAGCAAATTTTTGTAATTAACGTACAGCGCAGGAATCCATTTGATCATTTTAAAAACACTTCTACGTCCTGGTCCCAGTGCAAATCGTGATTTATATGAGTTTATTAGATTACTGAAACATTAGACCTTCCCTAAAACGTTACAAAGCCAACCAACATAGAACCTAGCATAGTTGACCATTCTTTCATGTTGTCAGAGTGTGCATCATATAGAGGATGCAGTTAAAAACAAGAAAGATTACAAAATAAAGATTTCATTGGGAATCTTAAATGATGGGGAGAAAGAAAGAAAATGCAAGAAATATAGGTAAGTGATGGGACGAATGCATCTGCACCATTGCAGCCGAGTAACATTCAAATCAATCTCATGGTTATCGTTTATACTGTTCATGTTTGAATTCATACATAAAAGCTATTCATCAACGTTAGCAAATTTATAATTATGCTTTTGCTTACTCTTATGTGTAGCTACGTTTTTTCACTGTGGTGTTTTATATCTTTATGTAGGTTTTAACTCGCCTTGCTACTGCATTAGTACCCAACCCACGTACTAACTTTATTCAACACTCTCTGAAACCTCATGCTGATCTCTATGGTCCATTTTGGGTCGCAACTACTTTAATGTTAATTGCTGCAATTGGTGGAAATATATCTAATTATCTACAATCGCGTGCTGAAGTGCCTTCATGGCATTACGATTTTCATAAAGGTATGCTTTGGCTACATTTTTTATTACAGTCTATCGGAATGATTTGTCTGTGACAAAACTTTAGAATATTTTCTCTGCTTTTCTTTATAAAATCTGTTTATCCGTTAGCGTGAAAAAAGTTTGGGTGACAAAGCCACTCCTTTCTTCTGGAGTAGATTTTAAGATTTGATAAGAAATGGTTTTGTCGAAAAATTTATTTACACAGATACAACCAGCTTAAATAAGATGCCATTTTATGTTCTGATAAGCAGTATAAGTTAGTTACAAACCATTTGCTCTAATTTATTCCTGTTCTCCGATGCCTTTTTTTATATTGGAGAATGATTGGCGAGTTCAAACTTGTACTGCTACATGAACGTCAGTAAGCTGTTTTCCTCTTGTAACCAGCATTTTTCAGGTTTTCCGTTACCTCTCTGGGAATGCCGTATGTCTTGCCAAGACTCAAGATATTTTTCCTTATCGATATATATTTCCCTAATAATGCTAGGAATAATAATCTTTGTATTTTTGTAGTTACACTGACCTCTTCTGTCATCTATGTGTATTGGTGTCTAATGCCATTGGTGTTGTACGGACTCATGCACTTTCGTCGTAACAATGTAAAGTCCCAGTCAAGTGATGCTGAAAGTGACCTCAGCAATCTGCTAGAACGTTCTGAAACTGACTCATCGTTTCACAGTTCAAGACGGGCTAACAAATTCTTTGATATTCTTTCGGCGTACGGCTATTCATTAACAATTTATGTTCCTGTAGTGGTGAGTTGTATTGTTATTCTGATTAATACTGTGATCATAAGTCATGTCCATAATTTCCTCTTTTATGCGATTACTGAGTTTGTTCCGATGATTTTCGATGAGTACTTATGTTATCGAAAGTTCTTACCATTTTTGGAGCTGCCACTGTGATGACAGCTAACCTAATACCTCGGAAATTCAGGTTACGTAAAAAGGCATTATTTAGCTGTCTGAATCGTGTTTCGTTAAGTCAATAGTCTCTCTACAGATATGGTTACTACAAAGTTCTAAAAGCCGATGGGTTTCAATCTATTCATGTTTTTTGTAGTTGGTAATAAAATTGGCAACGTCATCCTTGAGAAATGAGAAGACTATTTACCCCTTCACGCACCGAATACTTTTCTTATGATGCTTGCACTTGCTGAGTCTTAGTGTAGTTGGCTAAATCACGTATAATCGGTGGCCTTCAACAGTGGTTCTTGTTTAAGGAGATGACCCTCAACCAATGAGTAACGGGTCCGACTGCCACTTCACCCACTGAAGTTTGGGTAGCCATGTAGCTTCACTGGTCCCCACCCGATGCCCACTGCAAGAATGTAAACAAGGTGGCTGAGTGCGTTTTATTTCGCATTTCATATTGGGTTACTAACTATCGTCGCGAAGTAACTTTCCAAGCGAACAGATACTAGGATGAATAATTACGACCTTTGGTATGACAGTAATGACCATATCGATCCATTTCTTATAAGTCCACAATTTATAATCTCAAGGAACTATGCCCCTAGTACAGAAATCTAGTGACATAGCGGACGGTTGTTTCCAACTGACAAACGTATCGATCAGAAATAAAGTCAAGTATATTTTCAAAATATTACTATGAAAAATGTTTAGGCAAAAGCGTCTTCGTATTATAAGAGGCAATCGAGTAAACTGTAACTATTTACCTCCCACACTTTCATGTTTATTTCCACCCCTGGCTCACATAATTGTATAACATGCTGGAGTCGTAATACATGTTAGTACTGACAACAAAAGCACCGACGTATCAGTCTTACACATTGTACTACTTCCGAAGTACGTATATGGTTACCCTTAGTGTCAAAGCAAACATATGTCTTTTCCATAATTTGTGCAAAAAACATGAAGCAACAAAACCTTACTATGCTCAGTTTGAACGCTGAAGCTAAAGCGTAGATTTCGGATATCCGACAGTTGTTAGAGTATGATAACACTTCTCATCCTGATGATTTGGATCTGTAGTGGAAAAGAGTAAAACAATAGCTTGCAAACGTATGTTAAAAAGTAATTTGTTTGGTGGTGGCCAGCAATGGAATCATGCATGGGCGTTTCGTCCTACTTGAGAATCGTCAACTGCATGTACTTGCACTTCACTGGGGCTGGAACTTGACTCTCATTATTATTACTATTATTACTATTACTATTATTATTATTATTATTATTATTATTATTATTATTATTATTATTATTATTATTATTAGTCCCTTGTGTTCCTTGTGGATCATAGCGCTTCACTAGCACGTCTTCAGTGACCTCTGTTCTCTGAGATCTTTCGAACCTGGCTCCACGACAGCCCACAAGCTCTCATTTCTTCCTCACACCATCTCCTCCATGTCACCCTCGCCTCGGACGCCCAACTTGTCGTTTCCCATCGGAGTCCCACTCGAGTGCCTGGCCTGACGCGTGATGTCCTCAGTCGGCTTTCTCAGTGTATACCCAATCCATCTCCACTTCCTGCCAGTGCATATTTGTTCAGCGATAGCTTCTTGGTTGGTTCGTTCCCAGAGCTCCTTGTTGCTTATTCTTTCTGGCCATCTGATCTTCAGTAGCGAGCCAGCGTAAGCAGTTGTTGATGAATGTGTGTAGTTTATTGGAAATCCCTTCCGTAACGCTCCAAGTCTCTGAACCATACAGGAGCACTGACTTGACTGAGGTTGGTGTTGAAAATCCTGATCTTGCTCCACGCGCTGAGTGCAGAAGATCTCCACACTGGTTTCAGGCTAATGAACGCCTGTCTTGCTTTTCCGATTCTGACTTTGACATCCTCGTCTGTGCCATCTGTAGTTGGAACGGTGCTTCGTAGATAGGTGAAGGAGGTTACTTCCTTCAAGTTTCTCCCGTTGATGGTGATTGGAGCTTGTTGTTGGTGCGGTATCTTCAGCACCTCTGTCTTCTGTATATTCACTTGAAGTCCCGTCTTCGCTGCCTCTCCTGTCAACTTCTTGGTTTTTGCCTGTAGATCTTCAAGTTTATGTGACATTAGGCAGAAGTCATCGGCGAAATCCAGATCTTCTAGGTTCTTTTCCGCAGTCCAGCCAGCATATCCCCTCTTCTCGCTGCCTACTGTTTGCTGCATGATCCAGTCGACCACAATCAGGAATATCATGGGTGATAGTAGGCAGCAGCCTTGTTTCACTCCTGTCTTCACTTCAAAAGCATCACTGAGCTTCCCATTGTGAAGTACTTGGCTGGTATGTGGTATCTTCATATAGTTGTTGAATGAGGCTGATAAAGGTTTGCGGTATTCCGTAGTATTGAAGCAGTTTCCAAATTAACTCTCGGTCGACGCTGTCAGAGGCCTTTTCAAAGTCGGCAAAGTTGAGGTGTAGAGTTGACTGCCATTCTATACTCTGTTCTATGATGGTGCGTAGTGTAGCGTTGCAATTTGGTCTGCACATGATTTGTACTTCCTGAAGCCTGCCTCTTCCGGTCGTAGTTTTGAATCCAGTGCATCCTTTAGCCTCTCCAGGATGATGCGGCTTAATATTTTGCTTGCTTTGGGTGGACAGGGATGTAGAATGATTCCGCGCCAGTTCTTGCAAACACTGAGGTCTCGCTTCTTCGGCAGTCTGACAAGGTAACCCTTCTTCCAATCACTAGCCATGTACCTTCTCTTCCTTCCACACCTTCTGCAATAGTGGTGTGGTGTGAGCATGTCGGCTGTTGTCTCTGCGTCTGTTCTCAGTGCTCCTGGCGGGATCCCACACGGTCCTGCTGCTTTCCCGCATTTCAGTAGCTTTATGGCGTTCAGGCCTTCCACTTTTGTTGGAGGATTTATGTTCACCTGTAGTTCTCTTACCTGCAGCCTGTTCTGCTTCACTTGCCAGTGTTTCGTAGAAGTGTCTTTTTTCTTTCCGAGCACCCTTCTTCACTTCTTTGTCCAGCGTAGTGTTTTATACATTGTACTCAGTTCCTCTTGTCATTGTGCATCCTTGCACTGGTTCATCTTCTGCTTCACCATCCTCCTCTCCCTCCTCTATCAGCTTCCATGTATCCATTGAGATCCATTCCTTGTCTTCTTTCTTCTTCCTTCCTAATACGGCTGTGCAGGTTTCTTTCCACATCTCCTTCAAAGGCTTCAAGTGTTCTCCCACACAGGTTTCTTCAGGGATGTTCCTCGATATCTCCCATTTTGTTCTGATGGCTGACTGACGTGAAGATTTCCTTTGTAGTTTCATCCTTCAGTTTCCGAGTGTTCTACTTGGACTGCGGTCTATCACCAGCTTCCTTAAAGACTTTCAACTTGATTTGGAAGGCAGGTTCCTTGCACTGGACAGTGAGTGGTGTGAACCTACATCTGCTCCTCCTCTTGACCTTGTGTCAAGTAGACTGCGTCTCCATTTTCTTGAGATTGAGATAAAGTCGATCTGATTTTCAGTGAAGTGTGTCCTGGTGTCTGGTAAAATCTATGTCGCTCGCTTTGTGGATATCCTTGTACTTGAACATAGTGCCTCCAATCACCAAATCGTTGAATGCACAGAATTCTGCAAACAATTCTCCATTCTCGTTCATCACCTCACCGAGCGCTTCTCGACCCATGGTTAGTTCTCTTCCCCCTCCCCTCATGTCGCCCATTAGAATTTTGATATCGCCAACTGAGGCGGTGTCTTGTCCAGTGTTGATTGAAGTTGTCTGTAGAATTTCTCCTTTTTCTCCTCATCTGCATTATTTGTGGGTGCATAGCATTGTATGATTGTGACCTTCCTTCCTTTTGAGTTGAATCTTGCTGTCATGATCCTGGTCCTGGAGGAGATTGGTTCCCACTGCATGAGAGCCTTCGATGCTGTTGGGGACATCATGATAGCCACTCCATAACTCAGTGTGCTCGTGGTTGCCGTCTGAGTGACCATGTCGGAGTAGATTATTGATTCTCCAGTTGACAGTTTGGAGAGTCCACTCCCATTCCATCTGCTTTCACAAATTCCAAGCACTTCAATGTGATACCTTCTCATCTCTTTTGCAATCTGGGCTGCCTTGCTGGGTTCAAACATCGTGCGGACATTCCATGTCCCCACGTTTACTTTCGCTTTCATCGAGAGAAGAGGAGACACATCGGCCAATTGGCTTCCCGAAGGCTTTCACCAACTGGCGTCATTTCGCCTCTCCGATTCCAGCCAGGAATAATTTTGTTATTATTTTTTATATATCGTTTCTGCTTTGAAGTTTCTTTAGTGGTCAGATTTGTTTTAAGGGGTAGAGTTGCTTGCCCTGTGCTCAACCTTCCGTCTTTACCCGGGCTCAGGATCAGCTAGTAACTAGTGAACTAGTTAACCAGATAAGGTTGGAACTCGACTCTCACCGCTCCAAAAATACCTAGAATGACAACGTGAGATCACGGGTATCAATAAATAGTATTTCAGAAAAGTTAGTGGGTATTTGTAGCCTCCGTGGTTAAATGTGTCATGCAGATGGCGTGTTTATTCAGAAAACGACTGATGAAATGCTGATTAAAAAAATCGAAATGTACCCAGCAGCCGCATGCACATCTGTGCAGTCAGAAATAAGCCACAACTGTTGTATGAAGGTTAATAATACTATCTGGTTGCCCAGACCGCAGTAGGTGGTTCGGTGTTCGAACCCCGTGACCCATCGGTTCAAAGTCACTTACCTAAAAGAATATGCCACAGCTCCGCTAATTAAATACAGTATTGTAAATACATAACGAAGATAATCAATGTGTTTTGCGTCTCTCAAATGCAAGTTGTTGGTTCATGATCATTGAACATAAATTTTCTGTGTGACACTAGGGCACAGGTTGGTTGACTACTTCGCTTACATTGTAGTAGTTGACTGAACCTGCATATAGTATTGCCTGCTTTGGTGTTTAGTGTTTCGGTTTTCTTGATGGTTAGTTGTTTATCGTCCTTTAAAGTTTGTTGCTTCTGGGGTTGAGATTTAACCTTATGAAATCTACATTCCCAGGTTGGGATCTGTGTGACAACCAAAGCCAATGTTTAAGGACTGTTTGGTAATTTTGTCGGAATTAGTCCCTGTGATATATACATCCACACATTATCCTAATCGAGGTATCAAGTTTTATTGTTTGTTTTACCTGTTCTTGTGTTCTTAAGGCCTTCTACAACTTCGAAAGGCATTTTTTCACATTTTTCTTTTTCATCGTAGTTCTATATGTCTTCATGTTTTGATTTGGATTATCGTAGCTTTAAGCGTTAAGTAGTAGTGCCAGTATCGAATTAAACCTTGATTGATTGATAATTTATTGTTACCACTTTCAATAAGCGTGCTTTATATGGATTTTGTATGTTTAAGAAGTTATCGTACTATCTTCTATAATGTCAGTAGAAATGCACTGGCCTTATTGTAATTAGTTTTTTATTCAAGAAAACTTTTTGTCAACTGCTTACAGATTTTGTGGACAATTCAAAGTAGTATACTACAATGGATATTGTTTTTACTCGGACTCACGGTCTCCGGAGCATTCCTTGTGTTTTCTTTAACGCCGAATATACGCAAAGAACATCCCAAGGTAAATAGCTTACTTTATTTTAACAATCTTTCCAGTTTTTTCATAGGCGTTTGTTATAATTAAAAGGAACTTAGGATTTTTTGTGATCATTGTTGATATCTTGTCTTTTGTCTAGTTTTGGTACTTTCCAACTTTACCTGTGTTTTACAGTGCGATTCTGTCTCGACAGTGAATCTGCTGTATTTGTTAATATCAAGTGGATATTTTAAGAACTGTCTTTTACACCATTCACTAAGGCGAAGACATCGAAGGTAATATACTTATGAATATATTACTATATTCGCATTTGAGTTCACTTATGATAATATTGCATTGAACGTGGAAATAAAGCTTCAGTAGTCTTTTTGTTCCTTCTCATCAAAGATAATACACTTGTCGTTATTTCATCTTTATTGAGATTGAGCTACGTAATAATCTCATCGAACAGGGGTTTTAACAGTAAAGTGCAAATATTTATTAGACGTTAGCACAGCGGCACTATGACTGCTATTACTTTTCGTTTAGTGGGGTATGTTATCGATATTAGTTGACATTTTGAATATGTATCTCGGTATGGTTACATTCAGATAATTCATTGCTATTTTAATTTGTCGTATGTGTATTGATATAAAGCGGACAGTTTCAACCAGCAAGATGTTTGTGAGTAATTAATCATTATCAAGTTACCCGTATGTTCTATTTATTCAGCGCAGTCAGGTATATCTTTTACAAACCTACCTCAAAATAATTTGTGATGCTTGAGTCATCTAGTTGACGATATTAATGATAAGATGATTTGGATACTTGCGTTCTGTCCAATCAGTTGGTCTACTGAGTTGTGACCGAGGGAAATATTGTCATTATGGTTTCTGAAGTGCCATGTGTTAAACACAACCTTTTTGACATATGAGGTGATTTTAGTGCTAAATAGCACTGTTTCTAAGAAGCAGAATTTTCCATACCATTCAATATTATTAACTAGTATCCGTAAGCCTCTTTATGTTAGTGTTCGTATTCGCATCGTTAATATAGTCTTTAACTGGTGTACTTACATAATAGATTTTCTACAGCAAGTATCCGTTTCAAATTCAAGAATGGATTAGGCAGTCAAGTAGTATTGTCCTACCTTTCACGACAAACAAGATTAAATGCGTTACATGTGCGTTTACCTGATTACTGTATCATTGTTGGGAACAACATAACTCACTGGGAAGCAGGTATATCCAACTAACGTGTCCCAAATAGGACGAAACGCGCGTCCTGGATTCTACTGCCCGTCACTATCCATCATTAATATGTCACTGCATTGTTTATATTGTATCTGTAGTCGTTACCAAAATATTCTGTGGAAGTCATCAAATCACAACTTCATCTCACTTAAGTAACAATATTGTCTGTATCAATATTATGCGTAGTTATTCATCTGGAGAATTAAACCAAGGGATCACATTTCTCTATGTTCCATGTTTATGAAGCCATTGCATCTTATCTCAGCAACACTTAACAGCTGGCGGATATACATTGTTGAGTGTTCTACTGATGTATCGAAAGCTGCTTCGACAGTTTCTTGCCCTTAATATCTCTGTTTACGTATGAAACTGAATAAACTTCAAAGTCATGAGAGAAGTTCCTGTTTCATGAGTTGCAGACAAGATTAATACGCAAAAACCAGTGTCGATGGCGGTACGATATGGAAGGTATTACCAAAATCTATCAACACGTATTAGTCTGCTAAACATTCAGTTACTTCCAACCAACTAACGTTCAGTTTCACATCTTTGTTAACGACCGGTCACTAAAAACATACAAGTAGTTTATTTACGTGTAGCAGTTCAACTTTTTGCATTCTCAGCTTAAAATAATTAGTATTCTTTCTTTGTATTCGCTCAAAGTTAACTGAAAACTTTTATTCTGTCTTTAGCTTGCCACACCAATATTGATTGGTCTTATTGTTGTTCACTGTGGTTTCTCATTAGCTCTAATGGTGAGTATTCATTTTGATGTAAAAGTTGTTGCATTATTTATTTTTGTTGTCATTGATCAATCGCGCTTTCGTGAATTTATGGTTAAAATGACTAACTTAACTACTACCGGTTGTTGTAATTAATTCATTACCAAACTGTATTGCGTCAGATAAAAATATATTTCCTTGAAAAGACCAACTGACTGGAACGACGTAAAGGTTAGTACAATAGTCCATCAGCCCATATTAACACGCTCAGAAATATAAAGATGGAAAAAGATCACTGAGAAAAATAAAAAGATGATCAGGAGGATAAGTTTAGCGTAAAACAGTTTTTTTTGATCATCAGGTCAAAATGAGAACTTAGTTCCCCTATTATAACTCAGTCCTCCACTTTCAGTTACACCGCGTTATATTTTTGATCATCTATGCTACCAGAAAAAATTAGTCACATTAACAGTTTATGATTATTTGTCCCTTGCGTTCCTGGTGGAACATAGGGCCTCAGTAGCACGTCTCTATTGGACCTTCTTCTCTGCAGTCTTTTGAACCTGGACATTAACAGTTAGTGTACCGTTATAAAATCTAAAATCAATGGTATAATAGTCCTATGTACATGTGTGCGTTCTTGATGCCGTTCCCAGTAACTATCTTAAGTATGTTCTTCATATGTGTTTTAGTCAACTTCTTATCGAATTCGATCTCTTATCATCTACCTAAGAAGTCAAATTTAAAGATGAAAAAAGTCATATTGTTGTATCTTTGTCGTTTTGGATCAATATGCATATCACAATCACATCAGTGCTATTGCGTAAAACGTATGCGTAAAGGTGGGACTCATTGCTCTAAACTCCTGGTTTCAAATGCACCACAGTCTAGTTGACTCGGTAGTATTACTAGCCTTCACATAATAAGTGTCGCTCATAACTTAGTATATAAACATCCGCACAAGGGGAGACGACTGGAATGACGAACCGAACACTTCAAGCAACAGCTCAGGTAGCCTCAAGCTACTATTTCGTTGCCCGCCATTTAGTCGAATACTGAACTATACAACAAGATTAAACCCTCCAAGTTGAAAAGATTGTAAATAACCTGACACAAGGTAGAACAGTCCACTGATAAGATTCTCTCTAACTGGTCTCAATGACTGCTTGTCCCAATCTTCAAGAAAGGAGGAGGGAAATCTTGTGATAACGGTAGGGGAATCAGTCTGACGAACATAGTGATGATATTTTCCTGCTAAGTGAAGATACCGACAAGATGTAGAGTCTTTGAACACTTTAACTGGCAATGGAAGAATGTTTAGGGTGTTTCTCACCACCTAAATGTAAATGGTTGTTCCGGAATTGGTCTGTGGAGTAGTTGAGCACTGCAATTACTCAGGAAGTCGAATCAGCCCAAGTAGATTTCACTGATGACTGACGAAATCTCTTCACTGATACAAAAAGCTAGCTTGGCGTTCGCTACCTTCCGCCATCTGTCCCTAGGTTGGTATATCCGATTGGACATTAGGCACCTGGTATATTGGGCTGCAGTTCATTCTGTCCTTCTAAACGCCTGCAAAACATGGCTATTAAACGTATGGAACATGAAGAGGCCCCAGGTTTTTGACCACTGTTACTTTCACGGTACAGGCCTCATCGTGGTAACAACATCAGTAACGCAAGCGTAAAGTTTTGGATAGAAGGGGTGAGTTGGTGAAGATGCTGCGAGCCCTTTGCAAATACGGTCGCCGGGATGTGTTACGCACATCTAGTCACTGTCTGCTTCGTCGCACGATGTTGGGTGAAGTGGGTTTAGGGTTGAGAAAGGTGGGAGGTGGCCAGACTAAGATATGTTGTCAGTCCCCCGAATCTTCGATTGTTGGTCTTTAACCATGTAGGGAATGTAGACTTCCTGGTTATGATCTGCATGACAGCCGATATCGGTGGTTGGAGACTAGGTGACATGGTCCGGAATCGACCGCAATGATGCAGAGGATCTATGCATTATCTTCATCTCAATCGTCACGCCAAACTTTATCACTGTTTCTTCCTTCTTGTTTTCTGTTTACAGTTTTCTGTCACTCTTGACTACTTTCTTCTTTGCCCACTATCTGTATCCTTACAACCTTGATATCCTGATGTGAGGTCTTGGAACTTGGTCTGTTACGCAGCAGTATCAGGTTTTACTTTGTTATGAAATTTTGCAATAAGAACAGATGTACTTCCATGTGAATTTCTACATTTTGTTAATCTGTATCGGCATCCTTTGGTCCCTTGAAACTCTTAGGTGTATGCTTGCCAAATTTACGCATCTAGTGGCTGGAGACTATAGAAGACGACGCTAAATCGAAACCATAGACAGTCATGCGGTAGCTTTCATGTTTCGTATATTGTAAAGTGAATGTAGTAAGTGTTCCTTTATGTATAGTTGAGACCGCTTCTTTATATCCTTTTCCTTTTTTTCTGCTGTCCTATGTTTTTTTCCCTGTATATCATTCTTTGTCTTCGCGTTGTTATTATAATTTGTTGTTCATTCCGTACTAAATTTACTTTGAGTATAAAAGAATGATAGGTAAAATATAAATAAGAAGTTGAATGGATAATTATACTTTGAAAAACCATAATTTATGTTACTTGATGTAATCATCAATGTGTCACTGAACTTCACAAATATCCAGTAATGTGAAACTCTTCAGTGAATACTATTATTATTATTATAGAGTCGTTCTCAGCAATTGATTGACTTTTCATCTTATTTTCAGCCTTCATGGGTTCATTGTGTTAACTTTCATTCCTACGACTATCTTCGCGAGGTCTTAAAAATGTTCTTATAAAAAGATAAGCAACTGAAACCTTAGTTGTGAAGTCTGAGTAATGTGGTCTTTGCAAGGCATTCTGTAACCGGTAACTTGTATAGTTGTCTATGGTTATGGTTATATGAACATTAAGGGCGGCGCTTCCAGGTTGTCAACCTGGGTGGTAGACAAGTTTGCTATCAGTAAAGTTTTTCATAAACATTTCTGCACCACATATTTATGCCATTTTATATGACCACTGTTTCACAGAACGCCCTAAGCTAATTTGTCTGTCTGTAAGTTCGAATGTAATACTTTGAGGTGTAGTTTTATGCATAGTTTTGGTTTACGCAACACTTCCTTTATTTTTTTGTTGCTTTTCGTCCCAGATCGCCTTTTTTCATGGATCTCCAAACACGCATCATCCTTTAACTGCGGCTGGTTACGTGAATCAACAAAAGCCTATTGAAAGTAACAAGGAGTTTTTGAATTCCAGCATAGCCTTTCCCTCGAAGATAAAATCTCAGTAATCGCTTCATGTCAAGAGTCATTCTGAAATTGTAATGAGAGTACATTATTACATCACCAGGTACTGTACAGGTGCAGTTTTTTGCTTGAACTATTTCCCTTTATGTAATCATGTAACTGTGATAATGCCATAATGTTTCCTTTTTTGTTTTACTTTAAAATACACTGGGGATGGGAATGTTTCTAGCCTTGTCTCATTGTATTTTAAGGTTATT